TAATTTTTATTATTTTTTTTATAGATCATTAATTTTAGGAAAAGAAGAAAAAATATTCTATTTAAATTTTTATGTTTATACCATATTTATTGTGATATTTTTAATTATCCTAAATATAAAATCTCTTGTATTATGTAATTATTTATATAATATACAACAATAATTTTATAACATTATGAATATGTTTAAATTAATGTTAAGTGGATGTTTTGGAAATTAAATATAATATAAATTATAACATCTGACAAAAAATAATTTCCTTAAATGTTACTCCATTTACGTGAACAATAATTATATAAAGCGCACATAAATTACTCAATTTATCATTGTATGTAAGAAATAATTATAAGCATATATATTTTATTCTAAATCATATATTTTAAAAAAAAAAATGATCATATATAAAAGTTATAATATTTATTATTTATCTAAATCACTGTTTATTTATATGGTACTCAAATAATTACTTTGAAATTTTTTAAATTTGATAAAATAATATAGATTATACATTAAATGAATTAACACTAACAAAAACTAAATATTTTCAACACAAAATTATTATATATTGAATAATAATACATATACACATTTATTATTAAGGTAGACTAAGCCATTTAATATTTTTATTAAAATTTTAATTTATTTAAAAAAATGGTGCTAATAAAGTAATATTTTCTGTATTATAAACGCAGAGCATGATTGAATTTATAAAACCTATGTTCATATTGATTATTGCCAGGAAGAATATATAATGCAAGAATAATTATATTTTGCATTTGAATTATAATGTATGTCATACGCAGAATAAATAATTTTATTTTATATAATGTATATAAAAAAAATATATATATTAACAGTATATAAAAATAAATAAAAGCTTTTCTTTATCGTGAAAAATATATATATTTATTATATACAAGTTATGTAATAACAATACATTTATTACTATTATTATTATTATAATATGCTTTCATAATATTTGGTCCGTTCAATGATAAAGAATATAAATTTCAGATGATATATGCTTATATATCATGAGCTAATATAGTAATTATTAAAAAAAAATTTATAATTATATTAGCATAGTATTTTTGCAATATGAATTATAGTATATAACTATTCTTTGTATGGATATATTATGAATACACTTATATATATAGTATTAAATTAGATAAAAGAATAGCTATATAATAAATTACATATACTATTATATCAATTATAAATATTACATTTGTGATTTAAAATATTTCTTACATATTAAAATAAAAATTTTGCATTAATGTGATAATCATATTTTATACATAAATAAAAGAAAATTACTAAATAATTCTCACTTATCACTTAAGCACATGGAATTATAAATATAACTTAAGAAATTGAACTATGCACCAAGATGAAATACATACTATTACTATATCTATTTATAATTTTATTTTTATAGTACTTAAATAATGTGAAACAATGTGTGCTAGCATTCATTTATAAATTATATGAATGTATGCCAGAATTATTTACATATATGTACTAATGTATTCATTATATTACTGATTCACCTATTAAATTATTTCAATAGTATTAGTTGTCACATAAGTCCCTTCATATAACTCGAATAAAATAAATTTATTCTTTTTATAATATGTTTATATGAAAAATATTTCAAATATCGTTGTGTTATAGAGGTTTAATAGATGAACACAAGAAAAATAAAATAATAATTTAAAAAAAATATTGAGAAATTACTACACACAATATTATTGTAATATATATTATAAGTTTTTTAATATGTATAAATTTATTATTAAAAAACACCTTTTTTTGTGTTCATGTGTATAATGTAGAATGAGTGAAGTTACTGGTTTGAAAACAGAGGTACATTTCAATTTATATTAAAAAATATAACTTATATTGAATAACTTTAGAGTGTATTTATATGCACAAATTAAATAAGAAGAATATACTTTAAGATATTTTTTTATACTTTCGTTTACTTATTTTTCACTTTTTTTAGGATTATTTTACGGGAATGTTTCCAAATTATGCGCAAGAATATAGAATTGCTATATATGACTATAGGAATCATAATTTATCATGGGTGACAACTGCATGTAATAATTTCTGTAAAGACACGACAGGTAATATATGTAAAAATTTTCTTGTTGACTGCACATACCTTGGTCGCTTTTTGCATTATATATTTAAACGGGGAAGAGATAGTTATACTAAAGAAAGGTGTAAATATTTTTTTCTCAAGTTAAAGCTAGAATTAGTACAAAAGGGAATTTTATGTGAAGATTTTAAATCATGCTTTCGTAAATTGGTAGATTACTTAATAAAACAGAATTATTTAAGTCAAGATAGTTTTTGTAGTGAATATGTTTATGATGTGGATAGTAATGTATTACCTATATTTAATAACCTCGATAAACTGTCTAAATATTTATATGAATTCGGTATAGGCACTCAAGGAAGATGCCATAGATATATTAGGAAAGATTGTGATGGTTATTTAAGGTTTTTAATAAATTCTGAATATATGCTTAAGGAAAATTTTTATAAAGAACTTGATAAAATTCTGAGGATTTATAAGAGATATTGCCCCGAGAGTGATGTAAGTTTACTCACCTACTTGGAGATAATAACAAATGAGGAAAAAAGGAAACGGAAATTGTTTGAGGAAAGCCAAAGATTTATTGTACAGGAAACTTTAGTAACAGATAATATCTCAGACGCAAGCGAAGTCGTGGTAAAACAGAAAATGTCAGAAATCGAGCAAGATGCTAGGAAAGGCATCAAGGAAAGGGGCTTATCAAAGATAACTTCAGGAGTGTTTTTTTCTTTTCTTGCAATAATAATAATGACATTAATTTTTTACAAGGTTAAAAATGAATTCACATTTTTATATGCATATTATATTATCATTTTAATTAATCAATATATTTAAATATTATATGAGATTCATCACTTATTCATGAAAATATCTTATCACTTTTTTTTAACAGTATACAAGTTATGGTGCAATTTTACAACGAAAGGTAGGGAAATTAAGAAGAAATTTAAATAAAAAAAATAAGCATCATATAAATATAATGGATTCGTCAGAATTCACACAAAATTATTTGTTTAATAATAAGTACAAAATAACATATACCTCTAGCGGATACAGATGATGAGTATATTATTATCATTAAAGAATTCAACATTCTTTCATTGACACAATAAGATTAAAAGAATTATTTTTAAGAAAAAAAAAATAAAAAAAACTAAATAAAAAAGGATTAATATATTTTCAAATAATTATTATATTATAAAAAAAAGTACAATTATTTGAAAATGCATAATAATAAAAGAAATATATGTTTTTAAATATTTCCATATAATACACAAAAATTCAGGGGATGAATAGAGTTTTTAATAATATAACAATAATTAAGCATAATTAACAATTATTATGTATTATTACTAGTAATCTAAAAATAGAAACCTTAAAATTTTAAATATGAACTTTGTTCATAACAAGTCATTTATATGATGGAAAAGATTTTTTGAATTTAAATTGAAGAATAAATGCAATTATATATATAGTAAAGGAATAAAATATATACACATCTAAATAATTTTTAAGTAACATATTATTACATATAATATGAAAAATATACATAAAATGAATGGTGAATTTTGCTATTTATATTTTAAATAATCCATTATCATAATTGGAATATATTTTTTTAATGTACAGAAGATCTAATTAATGACCAACTAAATAAATTTTGATTTATTTGTATAATAAAAACTGAATTATTATTAAAATATCAGCAAAAATTTTATGAATATTTTATAGAATAATGATAGATATTTTAATAAAATGTAATGAATGTATACATAATGAATACAAAACAAAGTAGTTATATAATATTTGAAATTTAATATAATATATGCAATAAATAATAATTCTAACAGTATTATGTGAGTATATACACAAATTTACATAATCAGATTAGTTTATTCAATATACCTATTTTTATTATACATATATTGTTGTGATTTACATTTTGTTTATACCTATTTATATATAATCTGAAAATATGTTAAATTATTATATTAATAATATA